GAGCCGCAGTTTGCTGACCACTGCCCTAGCCCATAATACTTGCCCAATGACTTTGTTGGGTCACCTCTTCCTTTGATATCCATTAAAGAATGCATATTCCATTCTCATAGTTTGTTGCTTCCACCTGCGATTGCCTTGAGAAAAGTAAAGAAACAATCTCTGTCCATGCACCAGAAGGTCACAAGTTCAATTCCCAGTCAGGGCACAAATCTAAGTGTCAGTTTAATCTCCAGTCGGGAGGTGAATGGGAAACAAGGGATCAAGGTACCTGTCTCACATCACATCGATATTTCTCTCTCTCACCATTCTTCCCACTCTAAAATCAATTTAGAAACAGAAACAATCTCATTAAAATTATTTATTAAAAGAAGTTTTATAAAGTCATTGAGTGAAGGAGTATATTGTCGATGGAATTCAAATTCAGGGAATTTGTGTCAGTTATCAGCTTGATACGTCCAAGTATGTTCTGGAGGACTGAATTTCCCAGTAGGTTAACCCTAAACTAAGTGCTGGATTACTATACATGTGCAGCTTCTCTTCTCATTAATGATGGGAGAATTCTAGAAGATCTGTGTTCTAATGATACACCCAGTTATAGACCTGAGTTTCATAAAGTTTATTAAAAGAAGATTTTTAAAGTCACTGAGTGAGGGAGTAGAGATATTGTCAATGGAATTCAAATTCAGGGAATTTGTGTCAGTTGTCAGCTTCACAAATATGTTTGGGAGGATGGAATTTCCCAGTAGTTTAACCGTAAACTAAGTGCTGGATTACTATACATGTGCAGCTTCTCTTCTCATTAATGATGGGAGAATTCTAGAAGATCTGTGTTCTAATGATACACCCAGTTATAGACCCGAGTTCCATAAAGCCATAGCATACTGTAGTAGAGATTTAGAGTTTAGACCTCTATCTATTTCCAGCTCTGACACTCCCTAGTGGTATGACTTTGGATAGAAACTTACCTCTGATTGATCTTATCTCCTTGGAATGAAAAGGAGTATAACCTGATAAGGTCTAAGGTGCTTCCAGCTCCAAAAGCCATTATGAGGGACTGGAGATCACCAAGAGGACTCTCTCCCGGTAATATATGATGTGAGAAGGTAATTGTGATGTTATGTAGAATGAAGTGAAATGAAGGCCATAAATACACGATTAAAGGGAATTAGGAACAGAACTTATGAGTCAACTTATAAATTATCTGCTCTCCTTGATAAAATCTGAAAAGTATCATCATCATAATTATTCTCATAACTGATGCCACTGATATAATTTTTAAAACCTAAGCTCCAGCCTAAGTATTTAATTACCCTTTTCAAATTAAATGTATATGTATATTTGTGTTGAACAAGAATACCTTAAAAAATTCTGGAACTTCAATTAACTTATATCCTTTGGGTCTGTCAATTGAAAATGAATTGGGCTATGGATCCCTCTGTTGAGAAATGTATATGTTTATTTGGGTACTGACATCAGTTAACTCACCGTTTGGGATCATGACCAAGGGTAAGATAATGGTGGTGATGAAAATATAAAAACTCTTCCTTTGATAGACTTGACCCCAAGGGAAGTGGGGTAAGAAAAAAATAGGTGTAGGGACTAAGAGTATTAAACTCATGATCTACACATTGTAAATGCAAAGTTTCTCTTAAAGAAAGACCTTATTCCTACTGAGGCACAGCCAATAATGGAGTTAGGATGCATCTATGTTTCTCCTCTTCAACTTGATCCAGATGCCATTAAGAGGACGAAGAACCAGGTCTCCTGCCAGAACAAGTTCTTCTCTTTTCTGGTTGGATTCTACCCAAAAATGCCGCAGGATCCATGAAAGAACGACCTTTTCTTCCATCATGGCAAACCTTTGACCTTCAAATTAATATAAATAGCATGACTTTAATTACAGATATAGCTCAAATGGGAGAAAGAACAGGTTCTATTAGAGGGAGCAAGTGATGTTAGATTTTCACAGTAGGCCCTGGGAGAACCAGTATCACTCAGGATGCTTTCTAATAATAAAGATTCTTGAGTGCCCTTCCCTGCTCCCACCCAGTACATCTGAATAGCTCTGAGGACAAGCAATCTAGCCCACGCAGTACCCAGATGAATCCTGGGCTCATTGAAGCATGAGAACCACTACTCTAGAACGCTTTCCTACTGGGCCTTTCATGTAGTTTACTATAGAGTTACCAGGCCTCATTGTACCAATGCCTGCATTTACATAAACAGTAAAACCCCAGGTATACTAAAGCCAAAAGTGTTTATAATGCATGGCAATGTGCATTTATTTTGTTGAAGTACTTCTGCTCGTCCCATGGTCAGCATTCTTTGTTTTGGTTTTGAAAAAAGCAATTCTTAAAAGCAATAAAAACAGGTTAAATAAACTAAGTGTTATAAATAACATATCTACCATATAAAGTATATTCTACTTCAATCCAGAGATCTACATTTTAAAACTCTACCATGAAACTGGTTATGCTTTATGTTATGGGCTGAATGGTATTTCCCCCAAATTCATCTGCTGAATTTTTAACCCTCAGTACCTCAGAATGTGACTGCATTAGGGGATAGGGCCCTTAAAGAGGTGATTAAAATAAAATGAGGTCCTATGGATGGTCCCTAATCCAATCTGACTGGTGTCTTTATGAAAATAAGAGATCAAGCCATGGTTGGGTGGCTCAGTTGGTTGGTATGTCATCCCATTCACCATAAGGTTGTGAGTTCAATTCCATCAGGACAGATACCTAGGTTGTGGGTTAGATTCCTGGTTAGGGCATGTATAGGAGGCAACCAATCAATGTTTCTCT